GCTAGGCCACCCCTGCTTTTTTTACTTTTTCCTTTGATTAGGGCTCCCCGTGGGAGTTTTATAAATGCACCTTGTAGATGCACTTTGTAAATATATTCTTGGAATGCAAAGGGATTTTCTTATGTCTTCAATGTTTTGATTTTGTGTTCATGCCAAAGTCAGGCTTCAACCTCGAACTCAGATCCATCGAGCTCAGTCTCGGAATGTCAGAGACCCTTGAGGTAGGGTCGTTCCGGTTTTGGTTACACGCCTCCCGCAAACGAATTAGTAAGGAGTCGATTTGACTCCTCGATCTCTCGTGCATCATGCGATGATTTCATTCTTGTGATATGACTGTGAATTGACCGAAGTGGCCCTGTCGGTACATTTTCCAATAAGGCCATAAGTGCTTTTCCAGAGCTTACTGGCTATCAAAGTTAATAAATCGTCGACGCTCTTCTTATATATATATATATATATATATATATATATCTGATTCCCTTTCATTGAAAGCTTTGCCGCTTTGTGTAACTATCCTTCTCTATAGTGTTCCCCTTTTCGCGCCGGTCCTAGTGCTGTTTCAGATCAAAATTTTTGCTTGAATTTCCATCTTTCCTTTCTTGTCATGAAAGAGCCATGGCCACCAAGCCCAAATCCGCTCACTAAAAAGAGGGAAGTCCTGCCTCTGCCTCTTGCCCGGCTGGTGGAACATTGCCGGCGTTTGGCGAGCCGACTTCGAAATGTTTCGTCACGATGAGGGATTTTGCGATAGAGAAACCTCTCGATGTTCCGGATCATCAAGAAGATGCATCAAGGTTCATCTGCTCAATAGAGGAGAGGCATCTCGATGCTATAAGGAGAGAGTGTGGATGGGGAGAAGAGGTGAGGCTGCAGATACCCTCCCGGTGAGAGGACGTTACGACCCACGTAGAAGGGTTTCTGACCGTGTATATGTAGCCTTTTACGTTGGGTCCCCTCGACCCACTCGTGCTCGAATTTTGTCAAAGATGTCATGTTACTTTGGCACAGATCCATCTTTCTGGCGGATTGTGTTGATGATGAGGTTTTTTGCTGAGAAGGCTGAACTCGAGTTTACTCTTAGCCACTTCATCAGGTTGTACCGACCTTTGCATTATCGAGGTCTAATTACGCTACGACGTCGACCCACCAAGCTTTTTATCACTAGTGATGAAGAGGACAAGGATCGAGGGTGGATGAGTCGGTTTATTCGAGTGAGGACTGCCGACATTATTCCTACGGAGTTCCTGCCATTTCCAGAGAAATGGAATTTCAAGACTAAGTAATATACCAGACTCTATTACTTTAGTTCTTTGTGGGGCCAGGTTTTGTGAGGACGTTTTCTTTTTTTTTTTTTTCCGCAGCGAGCCCGTGGATGCCAAACGAGGTCCCCAATCTTGTAGATTGGGCTCGTAAACTGGTGGCCTCCTCGACTTACGAGAGCGTAAGTGGCGAGACTTGTCGAAGGGCAAACGGGAGGCTAAGCATCATGGTATGTGCAATGTAGTCCTTCTTTTGAAGGGTACCTTCCTTTATGTGCACTAATTTCTTTATATGCAGGTGTTGACACCCAATTTTGTATTTCCTTACTAAATATTATTCTAATGAGCTACTATTTAATTTAAGAGTCATAATAATATTTATAATATTTTATGTATTATTACAAGTACTAAAACTTTGCTACTATTATTGTTGTTGTCGTTATTACTTTACATTTTTTATAATTCTTTTACTATGTATTAGCAACTTTTAAAATATAAAACATTCACCATTTATTTAGCTTGTTCAAATATTTGTATAAAATAGTATTTGATTTTCAACTTCTTGTATTTTTTTCTTATTTGCGAATTAACATTCCTAATTAATTTATTACCATGACATTTTAATTTAATAGTAGCTCAATTATCAACCTTACCCAAAACTCAATTAAAGCCCAAAATCCATCTCCTTTTAGCCTATCTTTTAGCCCCATAGCCCACCAAGGAAAATCCCTTTCTAATCTCATCTAACCAAAATGAATCCCAAAACCATTCCAAATCATTTTTTCCCAAATACCCGTCAACCTCATCACCGAACACCCATATTCCCCTCTTTTAATTATTTGAGTCAGTTAATGTGTCTAGCTTTTCTCTCTTTATATTTTTATTTTTATTTTTTCTTGCCTTAGTTATCCTACTCATTTCTTCCTAATTATCATAGACAATCTCTTCCCTATTTACTCAAATCAGAAAGAACGAATTTTAGCAGAATATTTGGGTACGAATCTCTTTGGAGAATTAGTCTATGTTCAAACGGTCACCAAATGGTGGTCGAATTTTATAAACATTCAGATGCTTCCTGTACGGAAGAGATCATTTTCCCCCAAAGTTGTTGCCTCCAATTTCTGCTAATTGATTCTGTCAAATGTTTTTCTTTACTGATTTGCAGCCTTAATTTTGTCTTGCTAACTTAGAGACTTAATAATTCCTTAGCTATAAATACCTTGTTGTTAAGGCCATAGACTGGGGGGAGATTTATTTTTACCACTGCTATTCGCTACAGATCACACTCATTGCTCTCCGGCTCTTGTTTTGTTGACTTTCAAGTCTATTGTTGCAATTGATGAGATTATTTGATTCATTTTGCTGTTGAAATTCTCTCGGCGAGCTGTTTATTGGAATTTCTGGTTTCTTATTAATTAGACACTTCGCAAACTGGTTAGCTTCTAGTCGATGCAATTTTAATTCCCTCTATATGGTAGTTATGTGTAGAGCAATCGTTTTCAGTATATTTATGTTTGCGCTATTCGAACGCGCAAAATATTCTGCTAGGAAGCGCACAGGTCAGTTCTTTTTTTCTATTTCCACAATTTTTTCACTCGTTCTATGTGTTTTGTGCTTAAGTTCTGTGATCTCTACCTACACAAGAAAATATGATCCTAGGATTGTTAGCTTTTGAGAACCTGTTGTTTTGTGTTCAGATCATACTATATTTACAGGACTATTGTCGAATTCTATGCATTTGAACATCTCCTATTATATCTAGATCTCATGTTTACTCTAAAGCTGCACTAGTCTACTAAGGCTCCAGTCACAATGAAGTAGTTCATAAGTTCTGCTTAAACAATACATACTGCCTTCTATGTCTTTGATTGCTTGAAATTGCTGCTATACTCAACCACTTAGGCACCACGCTCTAGGATTGACGAACGTTGATATTCTGTTTGTCTATCAGCCTATGTCTAAAATGTTCTTCACCTGGTTGTTGCGTTTACAACTGACTAAATATCGCATGTATATGAAGTCGTGTTAAATCTATTTATTCACGTTATGCTTATTCAAAGCCTACTTGATTTAACAGAACATTATTATTAGAGTATGTCCTTATATTATAGCACAACTTGTCTTATTAATCTAGTAATCCCAAACTTTTCTGCACTTATATGTTTGTAAGGGTCGATATGAGAAATTCACGTGTGAAAGTTATAATGTGCTTGAGGAAACGATCCAAACATGTGCTTGTGATTTGTGAAAGTTACAGGGATTCAAATCTGTTTTAGCGCCAGAACTTGGGTCGAGGGTAGGGGCGAGGCTCAACAGAGTCTATGAGGAATCTGCCAAAGTTTGAAGTTCAATTAGTTGATTTCCTAGGCTCTAGTTATAAGCTCTATTCAGATAGCATGTAATAACTGATTGTAATGGTGAAATGGGGCTGCTAGGATTAGGGACTTGCTGGCTACTTCTCTGTTAAGCGTGTTTATGTTTTGTGCGAGAATTTTTATATTTATAATTCGGAAAAGCATTTCGACCACCACTAACATGTTTCAGTAGTTTAATAATTTTAATATAACTGAATCAGATTTTTGCCTGGCATACCTCTATTTATTTTTCTAATAATAATTTCGAGTAGTATCATCGGCTCTGAAAAGTATGTTAAACCTTCTAAATATAGTGCTATATCATCCACGTTTCTTTTCAATTTTTTTTATCGTTTCTCTACTAGTAATGCTTTGCTCAAACGTGTTTCTTTTCAAATTTTTATCCTTTCTCTACTTATAATGTTTTGCTCAAACGTTTGGACTTTTGTCTATTCCAGAAGACACTCTTCCATTTTCCTAGTTTGGCTTACTTCAAATGAAAGAATCCAAGCATGCTACCTTATGATACCTCTCTCTTACAAGGGTTAGGGAATAAATCGGAAGTCTAGTCCTTTGACCGTTTCTACATTGGTTTCTTTCACAACTTTTACTTAGTTCTCTATCTTGTTCGGGTATTGTATTAAGAAGTTTAAAATATTTTGAAGAGCCTAATTGACTTTTTAATTAATTCGGAGGCCACCATGAGTCCTTACTTGCTTTATGTGCTATTTGTTTAAGTTCTAATGTGCTCCCTTTTATGTGACGCTAATAAGAGTAGAAATAGAAACTTGAGATTTTCTTTAAGTCTAGAATCATCCCTTTAGAATAGTGTCCAAAGCCTCTTGGACTATAAGAAGGGACGGGTAGTTTTGAATTAAGACGGGATTTAAAAAAAATTAGTGCGCTCTTAGGTTAACAACTTAAAGATAGTAATGAGGGTAGTGGACATGATACACAAATTGCCCGAATAGCCCTTGCACTTGGTTATAAATGTCTTAGCAGACTTTGCACAGGAGTTGATCCATCAGGCTTAAAAATTTAGGTCCCCCTTTAATGTAATTAAGTAGGCTTTTATAATTTACAATTCTTAAAATTTAGGTCCCCCTTTAATGCAATTTACGATTAATTGCTTTTAATTGATGTATATACTTCACCACTTAGGATTAATTAACGATTCAGCAACCTACAACTTAGTTTAATTCAATAATCCCACATAGTCTAAAATTCGGTCAGAACCACAGTTCTGGACCTCAAAGAGTGCCTAACACCTTCTCTTTGAGGTAATTTGAGCCCTTACCCGATCTTTGGTGACGTTGACTAGTTAAAACAAAGTTATTTGCAAATAGATGCCCTAATGCACCTTAAAAATCGTTAGGTGGCGACTCTTCTCTTTTAATTACCCTTTTAAAAGAGTTGTCACATGTCGAAGCCTGCTTTCGCGAGAAAATGGGCACGACAGCAGGCATCAGTGAGTTTTCCGAGGTGAGACCGTCCCCCTACGAGGAGGAGGAAGGACACTCAACTTTCAAATCAAAGAAGGATAAGAAGAGAAAAAGATCCTCGAAGGACGAGAATTCTCATAGCAAAGCGGGGTAGGCTCGGGGGCCCGAGGAGGGCGTTGTTGCTGACGAAGATTTCATCTATATTGGTAGCTCTGAGGATATCAGGGTATCTGGAGAGGACGATTCTATAACGGCGGCTCGAACCAGGAGGTCTCCCGAGTTTGTCGAACCTGCTGGGCCGAAACCCCTAATCTTGAGGGAGAGGCTCCACAAGAGAGGGGGCGAAGGTCCTTCAGTACCTGATTTGGCAGTTGGTTCTCGGGCAACGGGAATTACCCTGAGGGAAACGGACTTTGTCATGTCCCCGCCCGAATAGGGCACTTCTGGTTGCTCTACCGGGTTAATGAGACCGAGCCGCTAGATACGAAGTCTACCTTCGAGGAAGCCGAGTGGCTCTGCTATATGGTGAGTTTTATTATAACTTTTAATCTTCATATTTTCTCCTGTTTAACTGAACTTTTCTTTCTCATAGGCCTTCGATAACCTCAAGTCTTGGCTTATTTGCTGTGATGCTAAGTTGCATAGAGCTTTAAATGGGGAGAGATCTCTCAAGTTTCTTTGCGAAAAGAAGATAAGAGAGCTGATACATCTCTGATCGGAGTTGGACTGAAGCCGAGTTTATGAAGACAACCTTGAGAAACAGGTAACTTCTGTTTTGAGGGAATATATGCTTCTTCTTCTATTTTTGGAAACTTATGTTTCGGTATCCCATTTGCAGAAAAAGACAGAGATGCTAGAGCGCATTCGAGGTGAAGTCAACCAGGTCAATTCTAAATGTAACGATTTGAAGGCACAGATAGATGTTCATGTTGCGGCCAAAAGGAATGCTTTGGCTAAGGCCTCTACCCTCGAGATACAGCTTCGTACTGCTCGAGAAGGTGACTCGATCTAGATGAGCAAAATTGCTAAGCTTGAAATAGATCTTTTGAAGCTGAAGGCCGAAGTCGTAGACGCTCGAGCTAATGCCGATGAGGTCCGAGCAAAGGCCGACAAGAATGTGGCCATCTATCTAAAAGATGCCTCTAAAGCTCGTGCGAAGTTGAGGGAGGACTCCAATCGAGAGAGGAGAAGCAATGAATATGCCTGGTGCAAATCCCGGAGGGAAACTCTCGATGAGATTTATGGTAAGGGCTTTGATCTCTCGGGGGAGATAGAGCAAGCCAAGGAGGATGAGTTCGATGCCAAGTTCCTCATTTCTGATGATGAAGACAATGAGGAGGGGGCCGGTGAGGGAGAAGGTTCTGATGGAGTCGATGGTGACATAGTCCCCGAGGAGGAAATGGCTGAGTCCCCGAGGGTAGACTAGGCTTTTCTTTCTTGTTCCTTGTATAGGGCTCCTTGCGGGAGTGGTGTAAATGTACCTTTGTATCGTCATCCTTAAATAAGAAAGGAAACCTTTGGTTTTCCCTTTGTATGAATTTCCACTTTCTTATGTCTTTGTTTATGTTTCGAATGTCGATGCTTGTCGACAATTAGTCCGATAAGTTGGACTTTAAGGTAGGGAACCTTAGGTTGTGCTTTGATTAATAGTTTACCATTTAGGGCTTGGTCCTCGAATCAAGTTTTGACTTAGGCTCGCTTACCCTTAGGGTTTCAACATATTGGTCCTTATGCTCTTTGGGCTGGCTCTTAGGCTCTGACACATTGGCCCTTAGGCGTTTTTTAGGCTGGCTCTTAGGCTCTGACACATTGGCCCTTAGGCGTTTTTTAGGCTGGCTCTTAGGCTCTTACGCATTTTCCTTTAGGTGCTTTTTAGACTGGCTCTTAGGCTCTTACGCATTGGCCCTTAGGCGCTTTTTGGGCTGGCTCTTAGGCTCTTACGCATTGGCCCTTAGGCGCTTTTTGGGCTGGCTCTTAGGCTCTTACGCATTGGCCCTTAGGCGCTTTTAAGATTGTGTCGATGCAACCTCTGATGTGGCTAGAGTTTTCCCCATTTCAGCTGAAATTTTAATTATGCCTTGGCATGTTTTTTGTTCGTCCGACTCTTCGACGGCTCAAATAAGAACCTCGATTATGTATCGATATGCGACGATAATTGAGTATCTCGAGAGGTTCTCACGAAGGTTGATTTTTCGAAACCTTTTGTTGAAGGCTAATTGTCTCGAAGCCTTGTCATTGTTTGGAGTTGATATGATCGAAGCTCTTTTGCTTATGTCGGGGGTAGCCTGATTAACCGGTTCTTTTCGAAGTATTTAGAGACTTGTAGTTTTAGGTGGCAATCGGACGTCTCCGAGCCGCGCTAATTTGGCCAGAGCCTTTTGATATGATCGTAGTCGATAGTCCCTGGGTGAGATAACCTCGACGTCTATATTGAGGGTATGCCTTTTTAGGGGTCTTACAAGTTCGATATATAGCCTTGGTCTTAATATCGGGGTTATGCCTTTTTAAGGTCCTATAAGTTTTGGCATGCCTTGTTGAGGTCTTACAGATTTGGGGTTGCCTCACTGAGGGCTTACAAGCTCGAAGTTGCCAGATCGAGGTCTTACGAATTTGAGTTTTTGACGGTTCAACGAGCTGACTGTCGTTGACAGTCCCGAGTGTATGAGGAATTTTGGCCCTTGAGCCGTTTTTCGTGAAAGCATTGAATTTCTTCGAGTGTTTTGATAAGCAAAGAGGCTTCCTCAATTATTTGATGTATGCGTACATGTTTTTTGCCTTCGGAGGCCCAATTATTCTATATGCACACGGTTTATTTGACAATTTGGTCTGGTACATCGTTCTCCTATCGGGGTCCTCCTTGGCATAATTTGAGTTCTTTGAAAATGCGACCTCCCAAGGTGATGCCCCTCAGTATTTGAGGTTGATAGAAGGGAAGCCTTGAATACTTGATGAGTTCTCCTTAGGTAGCATATGGGTGTTGCCTCGTTAAAAACCTCGCCGATAAAACCCGTTCGGGATAAATCCGATCTAAGGGAAAAAGAGCGCAACGCATGCTTTAAAACCCAAGGCTTCGGGATGGAGTGTGCTTCGATTCCTCTTAATCGGGCACCTGCAAAATACGTTAGTACAAAACATAAATGAAAAGGGAGAGGGTTGTACCTTAATGATGACGTTCGAGCTTTGACAAATCCCAATTGCTTGTTCTCGGGACGCGGCACGGTCCTTTACTCACTTGTTTCGACGTAGCCGAGAATGTAGGCTGTGGTTGCTAGCTTACTTTTTTACTTGCCTTTTGGCCCTTTAGATGTAGAGGACGTCGATGCCGGTGCCATGTCATGCACCGTGAACATCTCTTTTGTTGCGTGCTGCTTCCCGTACACTACTTTTACTCCATCCTTGGTTGGAAACTTCATCATTTGAAAGGTTCGAGGGTACTGCCCTCATATTGTGTATCCACGGACTTCCAAGCAAGGCATTGCATCTCATGTTGCCTTCGATGACGTGAAACTTGGTATCTTGAATTGTTCCTGCTACGTTGACCGGGAGGATGATTTCCCCTTTTATTGTCTTGCTCTCCATGTTGAATCCATTGAGGACTCGAGAGGCTGGTACGATCTGGTCGAGTAGTTCGAGCTGCTCCACCACCCTCAACTTGATTATGCTGACCGACCTACCTGGATCCACGAGCACACGTTTAATCTAAATTTTATTCAAAAGAAAAGAAATTACCAGTGCGTCATTATAAGGTTGAGACAAGGTCTCGTTGTCCTCTTTGTTGAATATGAGGGCATCCTTTGGTATGTAACTCCGAGTTCGCCTTTCCCTGGTGATGGATATCTTTGTCCGCTTGAAAACGGGTACCTATGGGGCGTCGATCCCTCCAACGATCATGTGGATGGCATGTTGTGGTTCTTCTAGTTCATTTTTCTTGTTTACATCTCTTTCTCGGAAATGATTCTTAGCCCGGTCGCTGAGAAACTCACGAAGATGCCCTTCGTTGAACAAACGAGCTACCTCTTCCCTAAGCTGCCTGCAATCCTCGGTCCTATGACCGTGAGTGTCGTGATACTTACACATCAAGTTTGGGTTCCTTTGTGAAGGGTCCGATAATATGGGTTTTGGCCACCTGGCATCTTTGATTTTCCCTATGGCTGATACGATGCCCGAGACATCGATGTTGAAGTTGTACTCAGATAGCCGGGGTGTCTCTACTAGTCCAGTGTGCCTATCGAATCCGGCTTTACCCATGAGCCCCCGGGGATTTTGACCTCAATCTACCCTTCGATCGCCTCGAGGCATGTTACGCCTTGGTGCATTTCTTCGATCTTCTACATACAGCTGGTATCTTTCTTTGTTTGGTCTTAGATCTCTTTTTGTAAACCTTTGTTCCTTTGTAAAGAGCCTGCTGGGATATACTAAGCCCGAGGGGGCTCCCAGTTGGTCGTCTTCGACCCTGATCTTTGATTGGTAGCTTTTGTGCACATCCGCCCAGGTCGCGGTGGGATATTTGATCAAATTCTATTTTAATTGCCTTGAAGCTACCGAGCTTCTCTTGTTCAAGACCTGATTAAAGGCCTGTACTGCCTAGTCGTTGGAGACTAGTGGTAATTCCATTCGCTCTATCTGAAAGCAAGATACGAATTCCCTTAGCATTTTGCTCTCTCTTTGTTTGATTTTGAAGACATCGGAGTTCCTGGTGGCAACCTTGATGGCACTGGCGTGTGCCATCACAAAAGAATTTGCCAATATGGCAAATGAGTCTATTGAATTTTGGGGGCATGTTACGATACCACATCATAGCCCTCTTCAACAATGTTTCTCTAAAGTCTTCAACAAGACGGACTCAATTTCGTTGTCCTTCAGGTCGTTCCCTTTTACAGCACAAGTATAGTCTCTAACAGGCTCATTTGGGTCCATGGTCCCGTTATACTTCAGGACATCAGGCATTCTGAATTTTTTCGGGATGGGCTTCGGAGCCGCACTTGATGGGAATGGCCTCTGCACGAACTTCTTTGAATCTATACCCTTCAGAATCGGGGGTTCCCCGGGGATCTGATCAACCCTCGAGTTATAGGTCTCTACTCTTTTATCGTTATCTTTTATCTTATTTTCTCCTGATTTGATTCTTTTGGTGAGATCCTCGAGCATTTTCATAGTAGCGTGGTTTGTTGCTGACCCGTTTGTCGTGCCCCCTTTTTCTCGCGAAATCGGGTTTATGACATTTGGGAGGACAACTCATTCCCTTTTGGGAATTTGGGTTTGAATCAAAGAGTCGCCACCTAATGATTAAGGTGCATTAGGATACCAAGAAGGTTTGATTTGAGTAACCAGAGATTGGGGTAAGGGCTTGAAATTATCCCAAGAGGAAGTGTTAGGTACCCCTCAGGATCCACTAGTGTGGTTCCCGGCTAGACAATTGTTGTGAATTTAGGTGCAAATAACATGTAGGCAAATAAAACTTCAAATAAGAGGGGATTT